ACATACTAATTGAATTCCTCAAGTTTGTAAGAGAATTTTTCTCGGTAAGAGAGAAGTGGTTAGCTAAAGACTGTGTTTGAAAATGGCAGTTATATGTGATTTTTAACTTCAGTCAGATCATGTCATTTGAAGACATGACCATATTGTTATAAATAATGAGAATAGTAAATGTCAAATTATTCACTTTGCTGATATAAGAGGAACTTCAAAGAAACTGAAAAGACTGAAAAATCTAGCAAGGGAACTGAAGAAGCCTTGGAAAATGAATATAGAACTAATTTTTATAGTAATGAGTGCGCTTGGAACACATCATCTAAAAACCTGAAAAGAAGCCTAGGGAAAATCGAAATTGTGACCAAGACTTCCAGAAAACTGTCTACTTTTACTCTGTTAGAATTCTCCGAAAGGATTCTTGAATTGTAAGGAATCTGGTTGACATAATGCCTCAATAACAGAATTTCCATAGACTACATCAATATGCAACACCACATTATTAATCTGATATTATTTGATATGAAGTGTGAACGTCTACCCGATTTGTTCTGTTGAATTAAGATGGGCTACAGAAAATATCCCGTTCAGTTCCACAAGTTGGCTTGTCAGTTACCTGAACATTAACAACTGGGCGTGTTCCCACCACCTACAGCCTGACGCACTGTGCATCTCAGTTTATGAGCGGAAGTAGTGTAGAATCATCATGGCCATGTGTCGAAAGGTTTGATGTGGCAGCCAAGGCGACTTGGGGGGGGTCATACCTAGACAATTGGGGACACCCTCGGCCAGATCCCGTCTCAGAGAAGTGAGTTAATCCACATGTAGATGGTTGCTTTTATCAACACCTGTCAGCATATCGCACACATTTGATTGTGTATGGTATCCAAAGATCAGACAGCGGTGTCACGATGGCTGTAATGAGTTTTGTATATTTGTTCCCCAGCGTAATTTTTTTTTTTTGCGTATTGAACTATTGCTCAGTAGTAATTTTTACGGGTGGAAAACAGCAAGTAATTAGTATAAACCACAATCCAGAAGCGGTTACAGAGATAGGACCTGTAGCAATTTTATGGGACTTTACAATACACACAGACAAACAATCAAAGCTGATCGCCCAGACATCGGGATCAGAGACCGCAAAGACAAAATGTGTCTTCTTATTGACATGGCTGTCCTTGCAGACTGTAATATATCTTTGAAGATCTTCAAAAACCTATCAAATTACAAGGACATTGGAATTGAAATCTCAAAAATGTGGCACTAATTCCAGTTGTAGTTGGAGCCCTCAGATTGATTGAAAACGATTTCAATGGATTCATTAAAGGGATTCCTAGTAATCCATGCCGTAAAGAAATTAAAAAAATTGTACTTACAAATACAGCCCACACCTGACGAAGGGCTTTAACTATTTAAAATATGTGTGATTTTTCCCAAAACTGTCATGATGCCATTTCTGACCTTATATCATTTGTCGGGATCCAGAAAGAAATAATTATACACCAGAAATCAAAGGAAATAATAATAATAATAATAATAATAATAATAATAATAATAATAATAATAACATGTCTCTTCACTACGTATAAGTTGATCACGTCTGTCCTGACGTTCCAAATTTACTCTTTTTTCGAAGCAAACAACATTCTTCCACTGGAACAGAAGGGATGCAGAAGAGGTTCATATGGCTGCAAAGATCAACTTCTGATAAATAAAATGATCCTGGGAAATTGCAGGAGACATTGTAGAAATCTTAGCGCAGCGTGGATTGACTGTTGTAAAGCCTTTGATAGTGTGCCACACTCTTCGATCCTTAAGACTTTGGAAATGTACAAAGTCTCCCCTGTGGTATTAAATTTCCTTAAGTACAGCATGGGAATGTGGAACACGACACTATACTTAAATCACACCAGAGGCACTGCCATCTCCAACCGTCTGAATATCTGACGCTGGATCTTTCAAGGAGACTCCCTCTCACCTCTTCTGTTTTGTTTGTCCTTAATCCTCCTTACCCATGAACTAAACAACAGTTGCTATGGTTACAAACTAGACAAAAAAATATTCAATCCCCTACTCTACATGGATGATCTCAAAATCTTTGCCAAAAACGCCAATAAGTTGAAGGGCCTCCTCAATATTGTAAAATGTTTCAGTGATGACATAGATATGGTGCAAAAGTAATATTCAAGAAATGGAGAATTATAGAAACAACCTCAATAGATTTAGACTTTGTCACAAAGATTAGGTAACTGGAACAAGAAGAAGCCTATAAGTACCTAGGAATTAGCGAAGATGGTATACACCATAACCAAATGAAGGGTAAGGTAATAAACGAGTACTATAGGCGTGTACGTCTGGTACTAAATACTGAGCTAAACTCAAAAAACAGGATATCAGCCATAAACACATTGGCTGTCCCTGTGATGCAATACAGCTTTAATATTCTTAATTGGACCATAGCTGACATTAAGCGAATGGACGCCAAAACGAGAAAGCTTCTCACTTGCTAATGTATGCATCATACCAAAGCTGATGTTGATTGTCTGCATGTGCCCAGATCCGAAGGAGGCAGAGGATTAGTTCAACTAGAACTGACCTACAAAACTACAACAATTGGCCTTCAAAATACCTGGAAACCACAGAAGACTGGATGATGATATGTGTAAAAGAACATGAAAGTAGTAAGCGCCTTTATTCCGTAATAAAGAAGCCAACAAGTTCAAAATGGAGTTACAAATAGATTCAGCAATACAAGTAAAGATCAATACACCGATAGAAGCTGCAAAATACTTAAAAAAGAAAGCAAAAACAAATGCAACCGGACAGATACAGAAACAATGGCAAGACAAACCGCTTCATGGCCAATACTCTGCCCGTAGACAAGCCCCGCACCAATCAGTGGCTACGTAGTGCAGGGTTAAAAGATGAAACGGAAGGTTTTATCCTTGCTGCACAGGACCAGTGCTTGTTAACTAGAAATTGGCAACCATAGAATATAAGACCCGGCATCACAGAGTTGGTCAAAATCTGCTCTGGAATATCTGTAACTTCTACGGGAAGGTAACTGAAAGAAACTGGTATGAACACCACCCAGACCCGCTTACGGAGATAGGACCTGCTACAATTTTTTGGGACTACACAATACACACTGACAGAACAATCGAAGCTAACCGCCCAGACATTGTTATTAGAGATCGCATACAAAAAGGTGCCTCCTTATTGATATGGCAGTCCCTGAAGACTGCAATGTATCTTTGAAGATATTCAAAAAGCTATCAAGATAAAAGGACCTTGAAATAGAAATCTCGAAAATGTGGCACATGGGAACATCAACAATCCCTGTTGTAGTTGGAGCTCTCAGATTGTTTGTAAAAGATTCCAGTAGATTAATTGAAGGGATTCCTGGAAGTTCATGCCTTAAATAAATACAAAAAAATGTTCTCATGAGTACAGCCTACACCTTACAAAGGGCTTTATCTATGTAAAATATTTATTTTCTGTGTCAGTGGAAAATGTCCTGATGCCATTTGTAACCTTAGGTCTCTGGGCGGGACTCGGAAAGAAATGTGTACACGCCAGAAATCAAAGGAAATAATAATAATAATAATAATAATAATAATAATAATAATAACAAAATCAAATTTATTTGAAAATACACACAGACAGAAGAATCAAAGCTAATCGCCCATACATCGTGATCAGAGACCGCAAAAAAAAAAAATGCCCCCTTATTGATATGTCAGTCCCTGGGGACTGCAATGTATTTTTGAAGATCTTCAAAAAGTTATCAAAATATAAGGACCTTGAAATGTGGCACATGAGGACATCAGCAATGCCTTTTGTAGTTGGATCCCTCGGATTGATGGTAAAAGATTTCAATAGACTTACTGAAGTGATTCCTAGTAGTGCATGTCTTAAAGAAATACAAAAAATGGTTCTCACGAGTACAGCCGACATCTTATGAAGGGATTTATCTATGTAAAATGTGTTTTTTAGGGTTTTTTTTTATTGCTCAGTGGAAAATGTCATGATGCCATTTCTACCCTAGGTCTCTGGTTGGGACCCGGGAAGAAATAAAAATACAACAGAAATCAAAGGAAATATAATAATAATAATAATAATAATAATAATAATAATAATAGCCATCTGTTTTTTTTCATAATTATAAATATATAATGTATCATTTAAACATAATACCCTAGTATAATAATATTTTGTTTCGTCGAATAGCTTCTTTTTGCAATGACTTTTACCAGCGTCTTTCTTTTGAATTGCAATCGCGTCTCTGTCTCTTGACAACCCATCGAGGAGAAGGAAAAACTCCGAACAACCTGCAACTCAGGGTGTTAATCGTGCCGAGGAGTGAATGACTATTGTGTTATGAGTTAGCGAACGATCCCCTACATGTTTCGGAAATCTGTCTGTAAACGACGGTTACCTAATGATCCTGGAACAATGTGAGAACTAAGTCAAAAGAAAACGTCCAGTATCACTATTCCAGTGGATAAACAGGAAGCCCGTACCGTAGGAAGGTACCTACCTATGGTCGAAAAATCTGCTATAGGAACAAACTCCTACACAGATAATGAATCTTCAGATTGCCACGACCGGGATACTCCTAATGATGGCTCTGCGAATTCTTCAACTAGATCCACAACCATTCATTTAAAGAAAGAAAAAGTAAAATGGTCATGTGAAGAGTTAGTCAGTTATATGCCATGCGGGATACATGCTTAGGTGATCTGTGACGATAAATATTCGCATCTACAAGAGTCGAAGCGTCCAAGATGTTTTGCTTGTCGGGCTGCTGTTTTATGATGGATATGTGCATAAACCCAAGCTAGACAGTTCGTCATTTCGTTAACTGCATCCTTTCCTCTCGCAAGTCCGAGAAAAGTAGATTCTCCGACATTTGTTGATTTTATGCTGCTTGGCACGATTTGTCTAGTGACGGTCTGCATGCTGATTGGTCGAGCTTGGGACTCCGATCGAGAACGAGGCCAACGCCGATGATTGGTGCGTTGGCCGTGTTTTTGGTCAATAAAAAGTCTGTAACATTGGCTGGCAGTGCGACTGGGACCGTGATGACGTGCACTGCCATAGAGGTTCGTATTAAGTTACGACTCCGTTTATTTTTGTCTGTTTAGCTTCAAACCTGTCGCGAGAGTGAGCGGTGTAATTACCGGTGTGTACCGAAACGTGGGAAGAACACACTGAACACCAACATGATCATGTATCTTTCGATTCATGACCGCCTATGCATGTATCACGCATGGCACATAACTGTCTAATCTGCTCATGACTGATGAGGTAGATTTTTTTCCCGCAGAAAGTTGCCATTTCTTTCTGCAGTAGACCAATTGTCATCCAAAGATATAGAACCCGGTCTGTCCTACTATTTACCCATAGCTGTGGGGAGACGGAGAGGATTCATATATTTCCCAAAGTTAGTAGCACGTAAGTGAATGTAATGGATTCGACTGGAATTCGAACTCGGCTCTCCGATTCCTCAATTCGAGCCGCTATCCATTACTCCACCGTAAGAGTACAAAGTCGTTATAAATGCAATCTATGAAGCGTTGAACAAACCTCAGAAAAACATCACTCGCCAAACATATGGCAATTGGCGAGAAATTGTTAGTAAAGCAATTAGAAATTACATTGACGAAAATAAACTAGCCAATATAAGGACGTATATCATGAGAAATAACCGACTGACAGGTGCTGAAAATTAAAAAAATAAAAAGAACTGAACAGGTGAATCAAAAGAATATTAAAAGGTAACAGAAATGGCAATAAGAATTATTAACATCACACAAACCACAGATCATAATGAAGGAAATGAGATATACAGCAATCATTGTGAAGATAATGCTGAAAGTTTAGGTAAAATGGTAAGGCGTGAGTGATCTTAGTCGCTCACAAGCCTGCAATAAAACGAGTCCGAAACACATTGAACCGAATTATTTTACGTAAAAAAAGAAGCCAAGGAAGAAATCATGAAATATATGAGTCAGACACAAAATATTGAAATGGAGGAACGAGAACAATTCCCAAGATTACAATCAACAAAGCAGAACCATAAATCTATTAAACTCTAGAATGCAGCACTTAAATTAATTCTAGATAAAATAGACTCAAATATAAGACTCAACGAAGCCATATAGACATCAGCAATAGGCAGCAACTAAAAAATTAAATATGAAAATACTGTCTCACAATTATGAAGATCCACGTTGGAAAAGAAAAATAGAGAAAAAATTGAACAACTTAGAAATGAATTATCAATACTCGATGAATTGGCAAAAGGAAAAAAATGTAAGGACGAGAAAAGGCAGAAAAGTCAAAAGAAAATGAAAAATTAATAGTGAAAATGAAGTTCTATCAGCCGAAGAATAAAATGAAAAAACAATAAAACTGAAGGTTCAAAGAATCAGACGCTATGAAAAAGAAGATTCAACAGATAGAACAAGATCTTTCAAACCGATGCAAAGAAATTTTACAGAGAAATAGGTAAACGAAAAATTAAATTGACAGACCCCCCCCTACTAAAAATGGAAGAGGTTATACAGTTCTGACTAAATTATGGGCTTGCCGACAGAACATAATAAAGAAAAAGAATGGATTAGAGGTAGAACGGATGGAAATAAACCAGAACAAACGTGGGTGGAAATCACAGAAGAGGATGTAGAATGTGCACTGACGAAAGCACACAAGTGGAAATCACCAGGAATTGATAAAATTCCTAACTTTTGGCTCAGTTATCAGCACAGAAAAATCTAGCCAAAGAACTTCAAAAAATGGTCATTCATCCTAATAAAATCCCGGCATGTGTAATGCCTTCCTTCTATCTAAGAATGGTAAACAAATATAAAAAAAAACTATAGACCAATTACATGTCTTCCCACTAATTAAAAACTTCTGATATCTGTTCTGACAAAACAGACATATTCCTTCTTAGAAAAAAAAATGACACTTCCTCTTCAATAAAACGGGTGCAAAGGTGGCACTTATGGATCTAAAAACTAATTATTAATAGGATGATTCTGGAAAAATGCTTCAGCACAAAAAAAATCTCAGTACTGTCTGGATAGATTACCGTAAGGCATTCGATAGTGTACCCCATTCATGGATATTAAACTCTTTAAATGCATACAAGGTATCACCCGTCGTCATAGATTTCATAAAATAAAATATGTCAATATAGAAAACAATTCTTCACCTCAATAATGTAAACGGAGTTTGGTGAAATAAACATCAACAGAGGAATATTTGAACGTGGCTCTTTGTCTCCCTTATTATTTTGTATATCCCTAATAGCATTAGCCAGCGAACTTAACAGGACAGAATATGGTTATATGATATCTCAAAAGAAAATAAGCTATCTATTTTATATGGTTGACTTAAAGCTGTATGCTAGAAATGAGAGTGAGCTAGAAGGTTTCCTGAAAATAGTAATACACGGACAAACAATAATGGTAGTCTGTTTTTGTTGCATGAAAAATTTCGAAGCAACGACTGTAGTGTATTGGTTGATATATTGAAAAGTAATTGTCATCTTTGATAATGGCTTATGTAAGCCGAAAGCTTAGATTGGTTTTAAACATGTATCAATATAGTGATTTCCTTTCGTCTTTCAATGATAATGTTATTAAGCTTATGAATATGAAAGAAACTTACTTAAAATAATTAGACAAAAATTGTCTATATTATTTAATGAAACATGCATCAATGAAAAATTGCTGCCTAAATATACACAATATATATATATATATATATATATATATATATATATATATATATATATATATACCCACTCCTTATTCAATATTACGGATTATAATAGAAAAGAAATTTTAAAAGAAATTTAAAAATTCTCCCTTCCCTCTCTAAACTCGACCATGTCTCTCACACCATTCCTTGCTACCTTCTGTGTTAACTTATATAAGCTTAATACTGCCCGTCAAAAGTGTAAATTTTAATTTCATTTTTCGTTTCACCTTTTGCACGTGATGTCTGAAGATACAGGGAATATTTAAAGCCCCTGGTGAAATAAACTATTACAATGGAGCCTTAAAGTGGTCTGTTTTTCTTTAAAATACATATTTATATATATATATATATATATATATATATATATATATATTTATTTTCAAAAAAAAAATTCTTGAGATATATATATATATATATATATATATATATATATATATATATATATATATATATATATATAGAGAGATATATATATATAGATAGATATATATATATGGCCGAAACTAGTCGAGGAATCTAAATTAAATAATAATAATAAAAACGAAAGAATTTTAATATAGAACCCCAAGGATTTAATTTTTTAATATTTTTTATTGTTCAATATATATATATATATATATATATATATATATATATAATTTTTGAAGAGAAAAGAAAAAACAAAAATAATTAGGAATATAGTTTTCATGTATATTCTTATCTTTAACCATTAATAATCTCTTATTTCCTCAATTTGTGCTCCATATTATTGTCCTTGTGTCAGATTGAGCTAGTCTTGCAGATTGTTTTATCGCTGAATGCCGTAAATTCGTGGCTTTTTTCCAAACTACAACTACAATAACAAAAATGGTTTTCTTTACAAATATTTGAAGAAATCTATTATCTGTATTCGATATCAGAAAAAAAAAAAGGTATTGATTTTGGAATGGTTAACATTTTAATAATCAAATCTTCTCAAAATACAACGGATCCTTTCAAATTTTTATGATGATAGAAACATCGACTGCCGGAAAGGAAACATCGCAAATAAATAATAAACCGGAAGTCGTTCGATTGATTCAACAAATATGTATCGATGACCAGCAGCAAGTCTATGAGGCGAAAACAGGATTGGCATTCAGAGCAGTCAGCGACCGATTAGAGGTGAAATGATGTCGCTGGCAAAAAAATATCAAGGAAGATTGTGCTTATTTTTCAAGAGCAACTCCAATATTAAGAGAATCATATCATTTCTACTTGGAAGAGTATCCAAAATGCCAATAGAAATTTTCAGTATATCTATCTATCTATCTATCTATCTCAGTCTGTTCACATCTATCTATCTATCTATCTAGTAGACTGTTCATATCTATCTACGTAGCTAGTTAGCTCACTCTGTCCAGCTCTTTCGACATAAGCACAATGTTGTCATCAGTGTCTTGCTTTTTCTAAGACGAAATTTTTGCGTTCACCTGAAAATTAAGTTTTTACGTGTGAAGTGTAAAACTCTGAGGTTATGTACTGTACAAATTTTATCATCTAGACACACGTGAAAACGTCAAGCGAGATAACTAAGATATTGAAATGTCTAAATATTTTTTAAAAAGCAAAATCTATTTAAAACTATTAGTTAAAACCTAGATATTTTAAACATACAAAAACCTAGATATTTTAATTATAAATTTGAAAGCATTTGCGCAGTATTCATAATTGATTTTATTAAGGGTTGGCTTCAAATTTTTAATAGAGTTGGCCTCAAGAATTTTTAGTTTATGTTTTGTTTTAATTTTGATGAAAAAGTATGCATATATTTTCAAGAAGAATTTTCCTAAATATCGAATGTGGGCTGGAATGCTGTTGTAAATGTTGAGAGATGTTAGATGCATCATTTAAATTAAAATTTTGTCTTAGAAAAATGTTGAACACAATAATTTTTTTATCTTAGGAAAAACAAGACCCTGATGACGACATGTTGTGGTAATGTCGAAAGTACTCGGAATTAAAATGAATGTAAGTTTTTCTCTCCCTTTAATTCTCCGTAATTACGATAGGCTCTTAATAAAAATAAGTAGATAAAACTTGTTTAAATTATTCAATGAGATATGTCTTAAAGAAAACACGCTGCCAATATCTATCTCCGTCTGTTCACATCTATCTATCTATCTATCTATCTATCTATCTATCTATCTATCTATCTATCTATCTATCTCAGTCTTTTCACATCTTTCTATCTATCTAGCTATGTAGCTATCTCTATCTGTTTATATATATATATGTATATATAAAAGATAATCCTAAGGAGCCAGCCAAACCTACCTAGGCTTCACGTAAACGGATCTTTAGCGTAAAGCTGGCTTTACCCTGAAGATCCGTTTAGGTGAAACCCAGTGTTATAATATAAAATAAGACATATCTCGGCTGATTTGCAGGCAAATAAATTAACATACTCAAGAGCGAGAGCCGGATGTGAACGGGACAAGACCCCTTCACAAAATGACCATTATCGTCGTTTGCGCCTAGGCCCGACGCACAAGTTCCGGTCGAAAAATAAAATAATACTTTAAAGTGTTTCTATTTTTTTGACCAATAAATATGCTTCCCTCCTAATTATACTCGCGTCGTTTTTCGATACCCATAAAAAACTCCTTAAAAGGGGTCACACGGGCAAGTACTAGCAGTCATCAGGGGGCCAGGGAAGAGATCTGTCACGGTCAGTCTGGGCAGTCAGCAGCAGTCAGCAGGAGGAGCGCCACGCCAACCAGTGAAAACTACTATGAGAGATCAACCCAGATCGGCTGCCGGCTTATGAAATATACCACAAGGTAGTTGTCGCAAACCCACACGTTCCTATTGAAATAAATCACGTAAATCTATTTTTGCTGCTGTCGTATTTCTTTCTTGCAAACATACGCTTGTCTATAACACCAGGTAGGATTATAGTAGTTCCAACGAGAGAAAAGTTTGTGTAATAAAAAGAAGAGTGAAACCGTAAAAGATTTTAGTTGTAATTTGAATTTTAATAAAAAATATATTATGGTTTATTTTCCATAATTTTGCTACACGTGTTTCCGGTCTCGCGACCTTCATCAGGCAAAGATTGGATATTTCCAGATATTATTAAAAGGAATTAATATTTTCTTATGTTTTTCGATGTTATATATAGGTTATCTTATTGTAAGGACTTAGTGTACACATATGTACACATACACATATATATACATACACATACACACAAACACACATACACACACTTCCTATGTTGTGTAAGGTTCGCGTGTGTACACGTGAGCAGTTTTGTTTTTGTCAATATATATATATATATATATATATATATATATATATACAGTACGCCCATGCACATGTGCAGTCCCACTCTATACACATATACTATCTTATTATAAGGAATTAGTATACACATACATACAGACACATATACATCCATATATAAATACACACACACAATTCCTATGTTGCGTAGGGTTTGCGCGCTTTCCTGTGAGCAGTCTGTTGTTTTTGCCAATATGCGTATGCATATTCATGCTCCACGTGGGAGTGTGTGCGCGTGGATGCGAGTGGTTTGATCACTGTATTTGGCCATTATGTGTGCATGTTGTGTGCTTTTGCGTGTGGGGTCATGACCTATTTAGTACTGGTTTAAATTTGTTTATAAAGTTGCTTTTCTTGTATTTGTAGGTAAGAATAATTGTCTGTTTGATATATTGGCATAATTTTAAATTCACCCTGGTTATATTTGAAGATGTGTTGTGATACAAAAAGTTTTCTGTTGTTTCGTAATTTTATGTTACTTTTGTGCAGGGAGACCCTGTTGTTCGGTTGTTGACTGATACCTATATATGACTTCTTGCATTTTGTGCATTTGAGTGCATAAATCACATTTTTGGAGTTGCAGTTTAAGTTTTTATTTATTATGAATGTCGTTGTGGGGTTTTCAAAAGTGTAGGAGTTTCCTTCTATAATGATGTCACAAACCCCACATCTTTTTTGTTGCATTTTGCGACTCCCTGTATTGTGTGTTGGTTAAATTTGGATGAGGTTAATATGTGTTTTAGGTTTTTAGATTGGCGTTTGCTTTTAATTATTTTGGCTGTTTTTAGTATATTTTTCAGTTTATTATTCTTGCTAAGTAGGACTAGATTTTTTGTAATTTCTGTGAATAGTTCTGAATTGTTCTTGTATATTGAGACATATACTAGAGTTTGTTCGACGCTACATTTCTTTGAATTTCGTAGTTGGTCTAATGGAATTTTTTAGCGAGTTCAAAACCTTTGTTTATTAGTGTTGTGATGTAGACCCATTTTTTTTTTTTTTTAGAGTTTTATGTAGTTCTTCTATGCGGGTTTTTCAGAGGTGTTTGTCAATCACTATAGTACAAACCCTACATGCTACACAATAGGGGATAGATTTTAGGCAGCTTTTTGGGTGATGGTACTTTAAATGAAGATATTTTTGGGTGTCTGTAGGCTTGTGGTAGATATCTGTGATTATGTCGTTAATTCTATTTCTAATGAGTATATCTAAAAATGGTAATTCGTTGAAATTATATTCTTGGGTGAATTTGATTTTGGGGTGTAAGTTTTGAAGTAGAGTGTGGAATAGGTTAATATCACCCCATGGGGATTTAAAAATCTTATTTTCCCCATATATTTATTGTATCTTTTAATAGAGGTTTTCCTCTAGGTAAGCTAATGTTAGGGTGGCATATGTACCATTTTTGTTTTCATTGCAGTACCTAGGGTTTGGATATAGTTTTTGTTGTCAAATTCAAAGGTGCTATAGTTTACAATTAGGTCTAGAGTATCGATAATGAATTACTTAGTGATCTTGGATGTTTTTCAATCTAGAATGAGATTGCCTTCTTGCCTAATTCATGGGGTATGTTGCTATATAGGCTACTAATGTCAAAAGTTGCCGTAAGTGTTATATATATATATTACAGGATGTTTATACCTATCTATCATAGACTGTGCATATCTATCTACCTACGTAGTTAGCTCACTCTATCTATCTATCTATCTATCTATCTATCTATCTATCTATCTATCTATCCCAGTCTGTTCATATCTATCTATCTATCTATCTATCTATCTATCTATCTATGGCATAAATCTCTCCTCTCTCTCTCTCTCTCTCTCTCTCTCTCTCTCTCTATATATATATATATATATATATATATATATATATATATATATATATATATATATATATATATATATATATAGTACGTGATTGTGTGTTGGTATATTATGCACATATAAACATAAATAGTCATAATGATAGATATCTTCTTAAATATGACAGGTAAGTACACAAACATTAATATCCCGCCCGCACACACATAGATAGATAGATACATACATACATAGATACATAGATACATACATACATACATACATACTGAAGAGACTTAGATAGATAGATAGATAGATAGATAGATAGATAGATACTGAGGAGACTTAGATAGATAGATACCAGGAAACATTTCAATCATTGACCGAGGCAATACTGCTTTCGATTAAAATTCATAAAATCTTAAAGCAATTTTACAGAAATAATGTTTTTAAGGTCAGTAGCAGTTATCGCTCTTCTTCCCAGTATTGGAGTGGATTTCCTTTCTATGTCCTTTTCTTTTCGAGTTACATGTGCCACATCAATTTTAGTTGTTACTAGTCCACTAGTTTTGTGCTTTCTGTTATTTGTGAATATATATATATATACACAAATAAATAGATAGATAGAAGGCATTAGTAATGTTAAAATTAGCCGATTCCCCACAAAAAATATTCAGCTTTCATTGGGCGAAGAGTTAACGTTATTCTTTGTTGAAATTTATAAAATCTTTTTCTTTAAACAGTTCTTCAAGTCCCATGTTAGAACTCTTTCTAATAATGATGGATTTATGTCCAAGATAGATAGATAGATAGATAGATAGATAGATAATGAACAGAATGAGATAGATAGATAGATAAATAGACAGATACATACATACATACATACATACATACATAGATAATGAAATAGAGAGATAGATAGATAGATAGATAGATAGATAGATAGATATGAACAGATCGAGATAAGAGCATAATTATAAAAATATGGATCGACTGAGTAAAGATGAATAGATAGGAACAGATTGATGAGATAGATAGATAGATAGATAGATAGATAGATAGATAATGAAAAATTAACAGAGTGAGATAGATAGATAGATAGATAGATAGATAGATAGATAGATAGATATGAACAGACTCTGATAGATACATAGATAGATAGATAGATAGATAGATAGATAGATAGATAGATAATGAACAGAGGAGATAGATAGATAGATAGATAGATAGATAGATACATACATACATACATAGATAATGAACAGAGTGTAATAGATAGATAGATAGATAAATAATTAACAGCGTGAGATAGATAGATAGATAGATAGATAGATAGATAGATAGATAGATAGATAAATAATTAACAGACTGAGATAGATAGATAGATAGATAGATAGATAGATAGATAGATATGAACAGACCGAGATATGAGCATAATTATAAAAATATGGATCGACTGAGTGAAGATGAATAGATAGGAACAGATTGATGAGATAGATAGATAGATAGATAGATAAATAGATAGATATGGCTGACCCCAATCAATGTTAGCCGTAGAATGATTGAATATATGGTAGATGATACTCAGCAGTTGTGCATATACATGTTTGTGTGGACATAATTACTAGATGTGAGGATATGTGTGTTTTATATTGTAGTTTTATTGAAGTTGTATTTTGGAATACAGTTTGAATTTAGGATATTATTTGGATTAATATCGTGAAAGACTTTTTTCATGTTGGTTCTTTGTTTGGCTAATTCTGTTTTAGCGGCATATCAACACCTCTATGGGTTATTTATTTATTGCTGAAATCTAAATATTTGTAACCTACTTTTGTGGCTTCAGTTAAATATATTACGAACGCTATTGTATGCCTTCAAGTATAGATAAAATATATTGCTGGACACTTTGCTTTAAAAATGTATTTTTTCTAATTATACCGAAATACAGTCTTCGTTATTTGGTGCATAAATAGGAGTTGATACCTATCAATTCCTATTTGAGGAAGACTGAGGCACTAAAACAGCATGATCAAAATGTTGTACGGCCTCTTTTTTAGCCGTACCTTTCGTGAGCGGTATAACTAATTCTAAGATGGTGGAAAGTAGTGTTTATGGTGACTATATTTTTCATAAGTCATTGTATATGTTAAAAATTTGAAAGTAAACGGTTAATTTAATAACTTTGTGTTATTAAACTAAATTAATTTAAATAATAATTTGCACAAAATTGCTAAAAAAAAATTTAAAATTCTAAAACGTCTTTTACTCACTTACCCTGGATAATTGCTTACCTCTCATATTTTTTGAAGCTTTAAAGACAATTACTATAAATTTTGGAAAAAAAAGAAGCATTTTTATTAAAAGGAATGAAATAAAAAAATGTAATGATAGTTTAACAGTGTTTCAAGATCACTCCACACATCGAGAGTATGTTTTTGTTTTATCTGACTTTTTCTTATAATATTAGGAGCTGCAATTTTCCTCGTCCACAAATATTTTTCCACCAGTGTTTGATTTTAGGAACTTAACCATGGGTACCAAATAAAAATATAATCTATAAAATCCAGAATTTATTTGATGTTTGGGGTACGTCCTCCTGCAATGAACTGAATCTGCTAGTTTAATTTTCTCTGTAAAAAAGAAAATGTTCTTTTTTTTTAGTTATGGGAACTACCTTTCTGCTAATGTAGATTAATTAAAGGTACTGGTGTGAAAATTCCTCTATTAAACAATTCTTAAAAAAATGGTAACTTCAAAAATTTATGAGGGGTACGTAAATATGCAGTGATGCATTAGTCTAGGGACACAAATGTCCAGTACCCAACTCTCCGTCCATCATCGTCTTTCAAAGGACCCTACTTTTACGGCTACGTAAAACACTAACAAAATTTTATGTATGACAATTCAAAGGTGGTCTGGAGACAAGATTCCTGAAAAACCCTGGTCATTAAATTGAGTTAGAAAGAAAAAGAATCTATCTGTCTATCTCCTAAGGATGTTTGAGAAATTGTATTACTACTGTATAAAATGTATTGTAGCTTATTTTATTACAAAAAATTTACTGTTGATTTTTGTTTGGAGGTTCACTATTTGCCCATAGCTGGGACCCTAACAGGTGCTACCACCTCAGGTCAGCGTGAAACTGGGAACAGTGGCAGTTAAGTGTTGGTTCTACGCTCTTCAAAACCCCCAATTTCCTAACCAGAGGCCTTGCTATCGGATGCAGTTTATATATATATATATATATATATATATATATATATATATATAAATAATATATATTAAAAAATAAAAATATATAAGAAAGAGAAAAGAATAATATCGCCAATTTCTGTCTATCAATTTTTATTAAATTTTAAAATTTTCTTCCAGAGTACACACACACACACACACACACACACACACACACACACATACATATATATATATATATATATATATATATATATATATATATATATATATATATATAAAAAAAGACAAAGAAGAACTTATCTTAACCGACGCGTTTCGTCTCTTAATGGTCTTTATCAAGCCAAAGGTGAAGACGAAACGCGTCGGCAAAGATAAGAAAACGTTTTCTTTTTGAAAAAGGGAAAAGGAAAACTTTTCCTTTTCTCTTCATACACAAGCGCCTTCCTTGATGCATTTAACAACATTAAGAAGCTGATCAGAGAATTTGAGAGGATTAAAATAAAAATAAATAAACATAATATGTCCAGATTATTCAACTAAACATGCTTGAATATATATATATATATATATATATATATATATATATATATATATATATAACTATGAACCATGAAACTAGGCAAAGGGTTTGTTTCATACGCGGATCGTCAGGTACGCCGGTCAAAATTGAAACATTAGAACAGAATATAAATAATAATAATATTTTTTTATGCTGTAGGCTATTTATATTCTGTTCTAATGTTCCTCTTTGTCCGGCGTACCCTGACGATCCGCGTAGGTGAAACCTAGGCAGGTTTGCCTGGCTATTTAGGTTCATAATTTTATATATATATATATATATATATATATATATATATATATATATATATATATGACTACGCTGGCCAGTTACCCTGACGATTCGTAGGTGAAACCTAGGTAGGTTTACCTGGCTTTTTAGGTTCATAGTGAGATTTGCTCTACTTAGTGTATTGAGCACTTTTCTTACTTATTTTTACTTTACTCGCATTGGAGGTTTTTTCTTTGGACTCTGAGCTTGAATTCTGGACGATTGTTTTCGCATCAATTACATGTTCTTAGTTCTTTCTTTTTTTTATTCCTTTTTTTTCCCTTGGGTATTGGTTTGTTCATTTACAACGAAAATACCTAAGGTTTTTCCGGACGAGTATACTTACTTATATTTATAAGATTATTTATATAATATTTATGTGTGTGTGTGTGTGTGTGTAAGAGAATCAAAAGCATTATCTTCATTTATTTTCATACTAACTATGGATTTAATACATAAGCGTCATGTCGTATTTTAATTTAGTCTAACTCTAATCGTAACAACTTTGTCTACAGAGTGTTCCCTTCCCTATTTTCCAAGTTTGCACAAAACTCCAACCCAACCTATTCAAACCACAAACACTGCACCCCCGCCACCGCTACTAATTTTCCTTCCTTTCCCTTCTGGAACCGCCATCGGCGCAGTCAGTGCAGATATTTGTAGCGTTGGCCATGTTGACTGTCGGAAAAGGTTTGACATAGTTGTTCGCTACAGAGAATGTAGACACGGAAACAAAATGGACGGGAGGAAGCGTGTAAAACATACCGGACAAATATTTAGTTTTTTGAGAATTGTTTTAAGAGTTGGTGTAAGTATTTTGGGGAGGTTATGTCAATATACAGATGATGTAATAAGGGTTCTCATTGATAAAAATATTCCAATATTTTTAGCTTGTATTTATGTTGTATAGGCTCTGCCTATTCATATTTAGGTAGCTAATTAGTTCAGTATCTTCATATCAGTCAACTTTTTCTTTCTAATTATCTATCTATCTATCTATCTATCTATCTATCTATCTCAGACTGTTCCCATCTATCTATCTATCTATCTATCTATCTATCTATCTATCTATTTATCTATCTATCTAAAAGTTAATCATGTCAGTCAAATTTTCCATCTCCCCCCCTCTCTCTCTATTTCTCTATCTATCTATCTCTCTATCTCAGTCTGTCCACATCTATCTAGCTAGCAAGCTATGTAGCTATCTATCTCAATCTGTTTATATCTATCTATCTATCTATCTATCTATCTATCTAACAGTTAATCATGTCAGTCAAATTTTCCATCTCTCTCTCTCTCTCTCTCTCTCTCTCTCTCTATCTATCTATCTATCTATCTATATATATATATATATATATCTTTCCTTCTGTTCATATCTATCTATCTATCTATCTATCTATCTATCTATCTATCTATCTATCTATCTATCTATCTGTGTGTTTATTTATGCGAGAGGGAATGTTTGCTGATTACCCTTTCTGTGCTGAAAACAGTTACGCTACCCGCCATTCTAAGAGCAGGTCTATAAGATTACATGGTTACTGTTTGGATTTCTGGGATAAGGAGCCATCCACCTGGTGTATGTCGATCTGGGCAAACCTTGGGTAATTCCGAGCTGAACACATATAATCTACAGGGATATACGGTTCTCATTTCTACTGTTCATATCTTGGAATATCTCGTCAAGTTCTTATGTTTAGTACTGCTCAGTTATTACTCATCCTGTTTCTACTGAGTCGAAGTCGACACTGCCCGGTCCAGGGATTGAACTGAGCACTTTAATCAATCTATGGAGGTAGACTGTTCTTGTTCCGCTGCCCATGTCTAGGGATATCTCGTCTAGTTCTTATTTTTAGTTTTGCTCAGTCATTACTCGCCCTGTTTCTACTGAGTCGAAGTAGACACTACCCGTTCGAGGGATTGAACTGAGCCCTTTAATTAATCTATGAAAGGAGACTGTTCTCATTCCACTGCCTATGTCTAGGGATATCTCGTCTAGTTCTTATTTTTAGTATTGCTCACGTATTGCTCATCCTGTTTCTACTGAACCCAAGTACACATTGCCAGGTCCATGGATTGAGCTGAAATCTTTAATTAATCTATGGAGGTAGACTGTTCTCGTTCCACTGCCAATGTCTAGGGATATCTCGTCTAGTTCTCATTTTTAGTATTGCTCACTTATTGCTCGTCCTGTTTCTACTGAGTCCAAGTTC